TTCTGACCGACAGCGTGGGCGAGACAGACGCAGAAAGACGTGCTCGGGCAGAACACTTCCGTGCGTCATTCCAGCCCGGTGTATCTGTTCGGTAAAGGTTGGGATCAGCCGAAGACCGCCTTTGAAAACAGACAGGTCTCAGCCTCCCTTCGCATTCCTACGTCCCAAGCTGCAGAAGCATATTAGATGGCCTGTCTTGCTTCTCCCCAGTATACTCGCCATCGCGCTTCCTCAACAAACGTTCGTCCTCCTCTTACCCTCAGCAGCTTGGGACGCCGCAGGTCAAATTCCTTGTTGGACTTGCCTCCTCCGATGGGCTCGCCTTCTCACACTCCTCCAAGAGTCCAAAGTCCCACTACGGACAGGAATGTCCCTGCCCTCTCTCTATCTATTCCTACACCCTTAGCCAAGTCTACGCCAGACTCCATGCTCTCCATACTGTTGTCCCGTTGTTTGGATTTACTTCACATGTCACATAAGGACGTCACCGCCCTTGATACATCGTCCTCGCCGCGACTCAGTAGTCGGACAAGCACCAGCTCTGACGATACCCTACTTCCAGTTTCGTCGCCCATTCGAGCCTCATTTGCAGATGCATTCCCCGAAAAACCCATTGCTGCCCCATCAAGGCGACAAGGATCTACTTCTGTTCGTGTCCGTCATATCTCATGTGACCGTTAGCTGATTTCAGTGTTGCCCAGGTGCATGCTCCAGTCCTCTTTGTAATCATTCTCTTCCCACTTTCCGCGGCTTTAGTGTTGTACTGCATGTCAACGCTGCCCATCACTGTCTCGTGGCCGAAGAACTTGACCGACCTCGCCCAATTGGGTAGGGAATTACATGGATATTCTCAAAGCGGCCCTCTTCCTATGGCGCACGTACTCGCTGTGATGTCTGTCACCGCCGTATGGAAACATGCCTGGTCAATACCCGGAAGTGTCATTTGGGTATGTTCCACTATTCGCCCAGCGCGCTGTCGGTCAGAAAAAGAAAAACACTCTCAAAGAGATGAGAGGCCAAAGGTTTCTCTTCTGCAGAAAAGTTTCCGGGTGAGACGTTACACCGGGTCTTTCCTGTTGTTCGTTTGGGGTGAGGGGAGGTTTACCGTGTAGTCTGACAATAAAGTAGACTTGACTGGCTATACCACTGAAAGGAGTGTGTTTTTAAGGTAAGTGAAGTCTTAAGCAAGGTATGCCTTAGAGTTCACAAGAGAAAGGAAAGGGATTTAGGATAGCAATCTCAGGTTAAGACAAAGTCAAAGATACACGAAGGTACAATGACCAGCTTTTCTTAAGAAAAGAGTAGGTGTTGAGAAAATTTGAAAGCAGCAGAAGTGGCAGATCGCTTCAGGCTTTTCACTTGCACTTCACAAAGAGAGAGTGTCAAGCTTGGGGACTTTGAGCTTTGCAGGACTTTAGAAATGATAGAATTTGGGGCAGAACTTTAGGGAAATTACAGGAACTTGAGGGGCACAGGCACACTACTACAGGAAATAAGGGGCTCATTATATACAATCTAGAAAGGGGCTGTGCTATGGATGACCAAGCTAAATTTGTAAGAACTTGCTTCGCTTACTTGATAAGAGAATGCAGGTGCTTATTAATGAAACATGAATTTAGCACTAGAATCCATGCTTGAGTCATCTATTTTCAGCCTGGAGTAGTCTAAACCAGTCTCAGGCTGATTCCAGATGCTTCTAAAGGATTCTTTACTTACAAATCTGCATTCTTTCCTGACTCATAGGGGTGTCTGATGACTCATAGGGGCATCCGATGACTAAGAATGACTTAAGATGAGTCAGAATGATCTTTTGATGAGTCACAATGGCCTTTTCTGACTCATTAGGGGCTTTATGAGTCATGGTGAGTCTTGATGACTCAATGGCCTAGTGCTTCAAGAATGAAAAGTCCATTCTGTAAGGAATGGAGAGCTCAGTTGTCGATCGATCAAGATTTGATGATCGTGCATCAGATATTAAGGTCTTTCGATCAGTTGGTGCTTGTATGGCCAGGTGGCTTCACTTTGCACACTACACCTTCCTTTCTGAGACTCCTTATCTTATCTGGTATCACTTGGAGATTGCCGAAATTGAAGGTTTGATCAGTTATTGTTCAAGAAAGCTGAGTTGAGTGACGCACTCTTCTTTCTTCAAACACCGCACTCTTTCTTCTGAAGTGTGTACTTGCCAGTATTATCGTAAACTTTGGTAAGTTTGCTAAGCATCCTATTCAGACCTTCTGGACATATCTCTAAGTCCATAGGATCTTTTGTGGACGAATTAGGTGCTTGCGCGGTACTTTGAACAGTTGGTATTTTCTCAGAAGTTGGGAATACGTTGAAAAACCCTTTTGACAATATGAGCTGGGTATGTATCTTCAGATCATTTAAACTCTTCATAACTCATTAAAGAGTGATCCCCTTGTAGATCGAAGAAATGAAGGCTTTGGAGCCTCCTCCTTCAAGTACGAAGGTGTTTCTTGAAATCTTTGGTATCATCTGTGGAGTCGTAGCCTTCCTTTGTGGAGTGTATCTTATAATGAGGTACATTATTAAACGTGAAGATCGCTCTAGGAGTTCAGGAGGAGGACCGTCATCGTAAAACATGTACTTTGATCCATATTCATTATGTTGCCTATCTTCACCTCGCCAATTTATAGATTATTTATTCATCATCATGTCACCGTAAAGTAACATGCTTGAAGATGCGAATAAACAATAGTCTTGACTGATCTGCAGTCATTTCCGGTCTTTTCTGAGCATACACAGACTTTACCAGTGTTGAAGGTCCAGTTAAGCGCCTACTGCTGACGTGGCACTGCCAGGCGATGATACTTGTCTTTAGAAGCTGTCTCCTTCAGACAGATTCGAGTTTCAGATCCACCTGTCTTGAGATTAGGTAAGTCTTACTCCTTCTAGTCTGGTTTGGTCATATTCACATTCGACTTTCAGATTCTGAAACTGCCTCATGGCCACTACAACGTGTGTCACCTTGCATGCGTGTTCAGAGTATCAGTCTAATGTCTTTTTCTGACCTATCGCTTCTTTAGGATCATCCTGGAGTCTTCCTCAGCTGCTCCCACTCCTTTGGCTTATACCACGGTCTCTAAGCCAACAGTAATTGGAGTCGTCGTCCTCCTTGGTACTTTGATGTTAATCATGGTCGCCTTGTGGCTTTGGTGTATGTTCTTTGCTCCTCGACGCATTTCTCGTGGTGCACGCAACCATGCAGCAGCTCCTATTGCAATGGTCTCATTGTCTTCTATTCACTTCAAGACAGTTATTGTCCCTTCCACTCCTTCATCTTCATCAGCCCCTCCCTTGGATTCTTTGACTACTTTGGCTCAGACTTCATCGTCATTGGTACATTCCTCACGTTCTTTACCTTCCATTCTTCATTCTCGTCACTCTTCCTCTTCATCTGTAGAAGATTTGAGGCATACGTTGTCAGTTTGAATTAAAGTCGGACTTGAGGTTGAGGAGGTCATTTATTGTACTTGTTGTCATTGGCATACCCTAATTATTGTCGTATCTGCAGTGTGACATTGTCTTGGACTTTCGTATTCAGTGTTGAATATCGAAGTGATCTGTCCATGTGCCAAACACTTTTGGTGCAGGACAAGTGGGGGTGACTTGAAAAGACAACTGTCCCCAGTTGCAAAGGATGCAGGGAAAAGAAGAAAAAAAAATGGAACTTCACAATACAGCTTCACTGAAAGTGCTTAGAGAGAGAAACTCTCATCGGATCTAGTGCTAGTATCTTCTGTGTCAGGTAAAAGTAAATATTGAGCGATAGGCGATAGGCGATAGGCGATAGGCGATAGACGATAGATGATAGACGATAGACGATAGACGATAGACGATAGACGATAGACGATAGACGATAGACGATAGACGATAAATGATAGACAATAGATGATAGACAATAGATGATACTTTGACACTTTTTAGACACGGTAGACACTTTTCAGGCACTTTCTTGATACAACAATGATTTTTCAGTTTGACTCTTCTCTAAACTTTTCTTCTTCTATGACTTTGTTGGACTTCTTTGGGCATTTCACTTGACGATATCTTTTCTTCTGAGAATCAAATTGAAGAAATGTGGTCTTGACAAAAATATCTTTCTAGACCACTCTGTCTAGAAGTATTTGAGATAGAGAATTCAGATATTCTCTAGCCACTAGTCAAGTACGTTCTTGACTACTTCTTCACATAGACTATGTTGTCTAGTGATTTGATATATGCTCATAGAAGACATCTTCAAGATTGCTAGTAGACTCTTCACTTGAGTCACTTGAATCCAAGTCACTAAATTCAGTGATATGCTTTTGCGATGGCCTTCCAATTTCTTCTATTCTTCCTGCAAGATCTTGAAGCCTTGAGTCATCTCTTGAGATATAGGGTAGCAATCGAAAGGCCGCTATTCCCTGTTTCCAGAGGTTTCCATTAAGCTCTTTCACGATATAGGCTCCTTTGAAGGTCCGTCGAACTACTTCATAGGGTCCTAAGTACCGGGGTTTAGTCTTGCGATTCAAGGATCTTTCAATGGCAGTGTTTCGTACAAGTACGAGATCTCCAGGCTTGAAACTTTCAACTCGAATTCTATGCTCAAACTTCTTCTCAAATTGAGCCTTTGAGCGTAAACGTGTCTTTGCGAGAACTTCTGCAGCCTTTTCCAGATCTTGATCCTTCTTTGAAAGTTGCTGGATTCGCAGTGCAAGCAAATCAGTTGTAGACATTCCAGAGTGAAAACCTTCCACTAGAAATGATGCTTCCAAGAGATCGAAAGGTAAGACTGGGTGAACTCCAAATAGCAAATAGTAAGGTGAGAATCCTGTTGATCGACTGATAGTGATTTTGTCTGCAAAGAAAGCATGGGGAACATAGTCTGGCCAGTCTTTGACTTTCCCATCACAGGCTTTCACTATGGATTCACGAATAATCGCATGACCTCTTTCCACTACACCATTTGCCTTGGAATTGTAGGCAGATATTGAAACTTGAGGTACACCATACCGTCTGGTAAGTGTATTGAATGCTTTCTTGAATTCAGGTCCATTGTCAGTGGTAACTTGTCCAATGGCACCATATCGACAGAAGATTTCTTCCCATAGAAACTTGGCAATGGCATGTGAAGTTGCATCTCTTAAGGCACGTCCTTCTGCAGCTCGAGAAAGATCATCTCTGGCTGCAATGATATACTTGAATCCTTTTGCCTTGGGCATAAACATGATATCCAAGTATATCTTGGTGAACAGTGTCACAGGTGCAGAGATTGTCAGAGGGACTTCAACTTTACGAGTGCTTCTGAGCTGACACTGATGACAGGATCGAACATGTTGATGAACATCATTCCACATATTTGGCCAGTAAAATCGTTCTTTGAGCATTCGCATTACTGCATACTCTCCACGATGTCCTTGTCCTTCATGTGCACTTTCCAGAATGCTAAGTCTCTTGTTAGCTGAGAAAATAACTTTTAGAGGGGGTCGTTGTCCAGCTCGTCGATACATATTGCCATTTCGAATAAAGAATCGACTTGCTTTGGTAATAAACCTCTTGCGTTCTTGAAGTGATAGAAATTCTGGGGTCTCTAAGGTGCTTAGAAACTTGTGGATTTGCCGCATAGTCTGGTCTTGTTTGGAATCTGTGGAAATATACACAGGAATGAGCTTTAAAGGATTATAATCCTGAAATGCATCATTGTCCAATGTGACTTCATGTGGCAGTGTGTAGAGAGCAATTTCATCCAACCAAGCATCATCTTCTTCTTTCACTTCTTCTCCTTCTCCAAGTCCACGACGTGATAGGGCATCTGGTCCTTTATGACGTTCAGCTGGGATATGAATTAACTCAAAATCGAAGAGTAATATTCCTTGAATCCAGCGATTGACAGAAGCATTGGGCTGTAAGTCAGGTTCATTGAGCATTCCTTTGATGTACTTGGCATCAACTTCCACTTGCAGTTTCTTGACACCTACAAGGTAGAGGCGATATGCTCTAAGGGCACGAAAGAGTCCATATAGTTCCAACTTAGGTTGGGAGTATCGTGCTTCTCGTTCATTCATAGGAATTGATCCATAGCGAGCTGGCCGTTTGTGTCCTTGTTCATCTCTTTGTGAAAGAATGAATCCAACAGCAATGTAGCTTGAATCCACAGAGAGAACTACAGGCAAATCAGAGGAGTAGTCAATAGGCTTTAGGGCAGGTGCAGAGGTAATCAACATCTTCAGGTTATCGAAGGCTTCTTGTCGACGGTCATCCCACTCAAAGTCAGTGTCATGGCGAATAAGCTCAGTCAAGGGTCGAGCCATGGCTGAGTAGTTCTTGATCCAAATACGCACTGTTCCACAAAGTCCTAGGAATCCACGGACTTCTTTGACAGTGGTAAGGATGGGCCAATTTAAAACCTTTTCAATCTTGTTAGGATCTGGAATTCTTCCTTCAGGTGTACACTTGTGACCTACAATCACAACTTCTCTGCGAGCAAGTTGAACTTTGCTTGGTGAAAATGTTCCTCCAGCATGGCCTACACGATGCATGATTCGATGTACATCACAGGCATGTTCCCAAATGAATCTTCGGATTCCAGGGTTTTCCTTTAACACTTCTGGAACTCCATTTTCATCAAGATACTCAGTCAGAGGACCTTTGATAGGAAGGTCATCTATGAAGATGTCAGCAGTATGAGGCATTTCGTCTTGAAGAATAAAAGCCATGCAAGCTTGAAATTCGGCAGGTGAATTTGTAAAGCCAGTAGGGAGGGAAGTCAATCGAAGAAGGCCTAGAGGTGATAGGAATGCTGTCATATCGCGACTCTTCTCATGTATCTTTCTAGCATCAAATCCCCAATAGAGATCAAATGCCGTATAACATCGACGTCCTGCGAAGGGTTCAACAAAGGCATCCAGAATGGGAGGAAGTCCTGCATCACGAATAGTCACTGCATTCAGTGGTTGAAGGTCATGGACTAACCTAAGTTTGCCACTTTTCTTGAGAACACAGAACCAGCGAGATCGATAAGATGATTGACTTTGCTCATACACGCTTGCTGCCATCTTTTCCTTGAGTAGTGTGACTACCTTTTCCCTGATACCAGGTGGTATGGGAATATTGGTGTAAGCCCAAGGAATATGAGGCACAGTTGGAATAATGTATGGAGTAAAGTAATCTTCTCGAAAGGTCCCGCGATGTTCTTCTTCAAAGACAAGACTGTTTTGATTAAGCTGAAGGATATGCTTAAACAGATTTTCTTCTTCCAAGCTAAGAAATCCATCTGGATTTATGTTCATGCCATCTAGACGTTCTTGAGTCAGCCGACCATTTTCCTTGAACTGGGGTGGACAGCACGATAGTGGTGGCAAGGAATCGAGAGGGTTTTCTGGAAATTGTCGACGGACACGGGATTCCTCTGGAAATACTCCTGGGACTGGCTTAACTTTCTTGTCGACTCTCTTATAAGCAGTAAGCACTTCTGCTCCACTCATCTCATAGATACATTCATCGTCAGGTTCCAATTGAGGGTAGAATAAATTAGAATTTATCCTAGAATTTATTCCGATGAAGGATTGTCCAAAGGAAAACTGATGTTCCTTTAAATGAGTCTTTCGAATATCTGTACTTGCTATGTCTCTTTTTGAGAGGTCATCAGATTTTCTGACAATAGCGTAGAAATGGACTTGAGGAGAGTCAACTTGACAGGTAGGTATTGAGGCTTTCATCCTTGAAGCAGTGTCAGAAATGTTCAGGGACTTGTCCGAGTTTTGTGCGAGTCTTCGGCGATATTTTAGGACAGAGAGAATGAGCTTGTCGATAGAAATCCTAAGTGCATGTTGAATGCATTTGGATTTTCTATTTCGAGTTACTTCACTCAGGTTTCTCTTGCTCTTATTGAGCCCTTTCCTGATATTGTTCTTATGAGTGTTCTTTGAGAGGTTTGAGTCAAAAGACTCTATTGGTCGGAAGGCTGATCTGGCGAGCAAGGAGTACATGTACACTAGGAATGTCCGAGTCAAAACAAAGTAAGAAAAAATAAGAAGAAGAAGGAAGAAATGATCAAGTCCGAGGCTAGTGTCTGTCCGTAAAATGAGGTATGCAAGATGTCCGATACAAATATAAAAGAAAACATTCAAGTCCGAGTCAGAATACATGAAGAAATATCTAAAGAAAAAACGAGCGAGTCCAGGTCTATGTACGTACGAAGAAGGTTCGTGCGAGTCGATATGGCCAGCATCAAGGATGACGACGGCGAGAAGAAACTCGTCAACGTTGACGAGCCCTCCCTGCCACTGGCGGTGAAGGGAAAAGTCTATTGGTAAGGTCTGTCCAGAATATCGAATGCACGTGAGGTAAGTGTCTATGAAAAGGTCTGTGAGCGCGAAGGTCATTGCTAAGTGAGGCAATGTACTTACGCGCGATCCGAAAAGGGTCCTTAGGGTGAGCTGCAGTTGTCGAGTCAAGTCCAGGTTACAAGTGTCTAACAGAAAAAGGGAAAAAGGAAAGGAAAAGTCCTTTAAAAACGTCTGAAGGCAAATGCATTGACAACGGTCAACGGCAATCGAAATCGAAGTAATGGAGCTGAGATAAAGAAAATCAGTCTGAGGACCTAATCGTCGAACGAGACGATTAGTGGATGCGTTCCCTAAAAGATTTCGGGAACGTACCTCCGTTAATTGGTAGGTCGTCGCACTAGGCGGACTGCCCCACGTCTCCAAGTTCACCAGCGATACGTCGTCGGTGAATGTTGGCCACGGTTTCTTCTCCATAAGGGCAGAAGTGAAGCATAACATCGATATGGTTGCGAAAGTGAGTCGAATAACTGCAGTGCTGGTGGGACCGAGTAGAGTAGTAAAAATACTTAATTTGCCATAGATGTGCCTCTTCTTCTCCATGAAGGTAGGGGTTGCCTCTAAAGCCTTGCTTGATTCGAAACATACGTCGAAATCGGTCCCGCAACCAACTGTTGCTGTCGTCGTCGAGTCCGCGTGCGTAGGTCCTAGCGACGAAGGGTAGACATAGGTCCCGCTCGGCCCATTCGCCTAGCGTATGGTAGTCCTGAATGAATTCCCTTCTGGTCTTGAGGTCGTCCTGGCCATGCCAGATGTTGTTGAGAAAGGGTACGGTGTCGCGAGGCGGAAGGGGATTAAGAAGCCGTTCAGAGCGAAGGGAGATGTACGTGAAGGGAAGGGATCCAGATCGAATGGGGAATATAGGATTACCGTTAACGATAAGGGGTTGGGTGTATTGAAGGGCCTGAAGATCCGTGTTGGACCATTCCGATTCTTCAGAGTCGTCGTGTCCATCCTTAGTCTCTTCGGGACTGGGGGCTACCGCGAGAATCTTATCGAGCTCATGTTCGAGCTCGCGTTGTTTCTGCCTGGAGACAGGTTGTCCAGGTAGAGTGGGGGTCATTGTGACAGAAGGTAGATGAGATTTGATTGAGGGGGTGTTCGTCGAATGCATCGATACGTCGTCGCCGTAAGTAGTCTTCTTGCCCGTTGAGTCAAGAGGGACGTACGCGGGGAGGTCTTCTTGAAATAGGGACCTTCTTGCCTCGTTCCAGAAGCGGCGTAGGGAGCTATCAAGCGTAAAGTCGTCCGAAGGGGATGTGGTTCGAAGGCCTTCCAGTGTAGGTACGTTTACGTTAGCCGTGAATGCCGATACTGGAGGAGCTGCTGGGGGAAGTGACCAGATCATGGGGGAGTACTCCGGCGTAGAGCAGGGGGTCGTTGACGGACAGCAGGAGGCAAGAGACAGCAGTTCTGCACGCACCGCTGCGTGGTCCGATCTCAAATGTCCATTTCGTCGGCGTGGATCCTGGCTCCTGTAGTAGGATGGTGTGGGTTTACGTCGAACCACTGGGTCCTCGAGGAGAGAAACATTCTCCGAGGATGTACCTAGCTTAGATGTCAGTTTACGGCGATGAGGAGGTACGTACCTTAACGTCTGAGGTCCGTTTACCCCATTCCTTTCTACCAATACTACCTCGTCATCTTCATCCGTCTGGTCTTCTTGGGACACGAATGCGCATGATCCGGCGGAGGCGTCAGGCGAGGGAGGAGGTCGAGGAGGTCCTAGTGGAAAAGCTAGAGGAGGGGGAAGCGTCTGAGGTGACTGAGAATAGAGAGACTGTTCGAAGTACGATCGAGACTTAGAGTCCCAATCGATGAAGCCTGTAGCGCCGGACGGTCTGCTAGGGTTAAGGCTTGGGTCGGCCGAGCATTTGAGGGAGTTCGGGGATGCGGAATCAAGCCTGATTTCCGCGGAAATCGGAGGTACAGCGGAGATCTGGGACTCTGGGTCTGGCCACGAGTCTCGATCATTCTCTTCGATCGAATAGAGTTCCTTCATACGTTCCTTCCTCTGCCTTTTCCATTCTTCCTCTATTTCTCCCTCTTCTAGTTCCTCTTCCTCTAAACTAAGCATAGGTACGTCATCGTCTTCTATTTCCTCCCTGACTTCTCTCGTCTTTAGATCTTGTTCTTCATCCAGAGCGAGCGCGAGCCCTTCCCAAGTGGGTTCAGCGATCTCGGTCTCTCGGTCTACCACGACGTTTAGCATACCGCGGACACGACGGACGTCGGGCTCTCCGGTCCATATGGAGGGCGCGTGGACGAGCGTAGCGTCATCAAAAATATAAGAGTACGTCGTACCTTCTTTACTTTCTGTCGACGGTAAGGCTTGAGCTTTACCAGAGGTGATTGACACTTGGCAAGTAGGATATTCCGAATCCAAGGGAGGTGTTCCAGATAGGTGGGATTGATTCAGTCCGTCACGCGGGATAGGAGGGGGACGATTCGACATACCGGCTAGTGCTGCAAAAGGAGCGAGTGCACGTAGGCCGTATTCGGTTACCGCAAACCGAGGAGGAGGGGGATGAGTAGCGAAGGAAGGGATTGGTGCCATTGCGCGGGTAACTAAGGTACGTTCGAGCTGTCGTTCGGGTTCTTCAAGACAGATGGCAGTTCTGGGACGGCCACACTGACCTATTCCTTTCGTCAATCCTTTTATTTCTCTAAGTAGATCCCCTGTCTTCGAGTGGAGGGCTTGCGCGTCCTCGACGGTGTTCTCCATTTCGACTTTGTTATTGACGGTAAGCAGGCCGATCCCATTCGCATACTCATATATTCTTTTAAGGCCTAATTCAATGGGGACTTCGCCCAGGAGCGTCCGCACCCTCGTCAACAAATATGCTAAGGTTTCCGCGTCGAAATTCGAGAACGCGGACCAAATTGATTCTCGCAGGCGATCTCCACTCGTCGTCTGCGAGACGCGATTTCTATTCGGGTCCGAATTAGAGGGACGGTCTCGTTCACCGAGCGTAGGCCTAAATTCTTCGTAAGTGTTTCTCCCGTTTCTTCCGATTTCTTCTGTTCTGGTCCAACCGGCGTCTTCTCTATTAAGCATGAAGAATGGCAGGTTTTCTCCGCCGCGATGCCTATTGAATGAGACCTCCTTTGAGTGCGGTACGTAGGGGGGGTGTACTGACTGGTCAAATACTGCATTTTCTTTTATCATAGACATCTTTGACGCGTCAACATGGACGTCAAGGTATTGTCCTTTGTCTGCATCTCCGGTCAGGTAAGTTGTCCCGTTCTCGGCATCCAAATTACTCGTACTGACTTCCTCCAAGTTTTGCAGGTCAATCTGTCGATTTTCTGTATGGCGAATATCGTCCGTTGGTCCTGGAACACTGGAAGAAGGGTTCAGTCCAAAAAGTGAACAAAAGAGAGCCGCGTCGTTAGTCAGATATGGGGTTTCCTGTACATATAGCCTTCCATTAGCTTTATCCCAATTTTTGTCATTGACTTTGACTGTCAAATTAAAATCTTTCTGAAGACTGTCTAAGTCTTTAGAAAATTCGGGTATGATGTTGTATGTCTCTTTTCCCTTGTGGTCTTCACGGTGTGTAGTTCCAGTTGAATGAGTAGAAATCTTATTCAACAAATCCTCTTCTGGGCCATGTCTGCTCTGTCGAAGTTGGCAATAGTCTTCATTTAGGTTCCAGTCAAGATCTCCACTGTCATCACTTCTGGAACAACCACCACGTATTCGCAAGACTTCATCATTGGTCTCCCCGGTTGAATTCAACTGTATGACCAAATTTTGTGCAGCAAGTGCTTCAGATGGGTCTCGTTCTTCTTTATCACGCTGAATGCTCAGCTCAATTTCAGTTTTTAGATATTGATCTGCACTTGGCAAACGTGGAGTCATGTCTAAAGGATCAAGCTCATCAAAACTTAAGGAAGCAGTCTTAGAGGGTCCTGAATCAAATTCATCAGGCAGGCTATTTTCCTTGGCTTGATTTTTGCTCTTGCTGTCAAAGAGTCCAGGTTGATCATCTTGCTGTCCGCTAGGTTGTTTGATGATTTCCATCTTGTCCTCGGTAGTCTCAGGAACAGGTTCTACTGGGACAAAAATAGGACCGTTCCACTCATAGTCTCCAGAAGGATATCCAGGACTCTTCTTGAATTGGAGATATGCATCCACATGTCGTACAGCCGTTGGTCGAACTGACCCTGGTTCAGCATAAATTAGAGTAGCTCCTTTTATGATGAATGCATCCACTCGTTGTCGTGTTGGTTCGGTAAACTCTGTTAATACAGGACAAGCTTCATATGTCCCTAGAGTTAGACGAAATTGAGGTGTCTTGTTACGCCAAATTACGGACATACTCTTGGAGTGAAGTTCTTCAGATTTAGTCTGTCCAACATCCTCTGTACTTTCACTTGCATATATCCTAAGAAGGGCAGGAGTAGGGTTATTATCTTCAAAGGG